ATAACCGAAAAGTATGAAAAAATCCATTATTAGTGTAGTATATTATTATATCCCATGTAATTAGTATATCGCTATTAACCTACTTTGCGTTGAAATTTTCATCGATGTTAAGCTTAACAAAAATTTTTTAAAATAATAATCGTTGCTATTGAATCGTTAAAAATTAGAAAATTAAGTTTTGTTTAAATACTGGCTCCCTTTCATGGTCGAATGAGTGTTGCCAGCTAAAACACGTAAAAATAATATTAAAGTAGCCAAGACATAGCCAAATATTGTAGCGCCACATCAATAGCGGGCATTTGAAATTTGCCAACTAGGACGGTCGGTTAACCGAGGGGTCGGTTGATCGGGGGTCGGATAATCGAGGCTCTAATGTACTCGGGTAACACTTAATCGGCACTATTCCGTGAGAATAGTTCCCTAAAGTTTCAGATCTCTAGATCTGATCTTAAAAGTTTCATAGGAGAGCAATAATCGCTGTTAGATCTGAACTGTGAAGTCCAGATGCTCGTCAGGATTCCTTGACACCAGTTTGTCAATTTATCGATCCGCAGACAAACACGCGTATGCGATCTGATTCGGTCACACAATTAAGAGACATTTTAATTAAAACGAAATAATAAATTTAATAAAACAAAGAAAATAAACTCATACAAAAATCTAAATGAACGAGGGACAGAACCACTACAAATAATATACAAATCGGGCAATAGCTAAGCTTATATTATACCCTATTCGCGATCGAGAGAGAGCTCACAAAATCGTTATAAAACATACGACCTGTTTAGTTGTCGTTCGTCTTCTTCTCTGTATGCAAGGGACACTTCAGAGATAAAGTTCATTTACTTCTTCGTATGGGAGATCAATATGTGCACAAAATCCAAGTATGGTTTCTAAGTGCTAACTCTGGAATTATTCTGTATGTGACTCGTCTACAGACGTTGGTCATCAGGAGGAAAAACGTATGGAGTTTGGACGCTTCCAGAACTGTCGCTGAACTCCCCGAATTCTGACAAATTCCCTGTATATCTTCTGAATTTCAACCAATCATCGGCCAGTAACTCTTTCATGAAAACGGATGAAAGGGGAATGAATGAGGGGTAGCCATTTCCCATCTGAGCAGGATTTTAACCAGATAAGGGAAAGTCAGAGGATGTTCAACTTCTGTGAAAGGAAGTAACATCTGTTATCTGCCTTTTTCCACGTTAAAACAGTATTTTTCTCACCAAAAATGAAGTAATATTTGGTGACAATATTTAACATAATTAATAAAATTATTAATTTAGACCCAGGGGCCTTTCGGGTCTCACAGCTATTATTACAATTAATATTTTGATAATAACTACATAATTATAAATAATTATAGTTTTATTTATGAAAATTCAGTTACAGTGTTGCTCAATAAAGTAATCAATAAACTATGAAGTATCATTAAATCAGTGAAATATAGGTAATGAAATTTAAAGTAGATTGGTAGGTATAGCAATAAAGTAAAATAAATATATTATTTTTTATTTTGTATTCTAGTTTTTTTTTTTTTCTTTTTTGTAAAAAGTGGTCTGCTTAGTCTTTCTCTTCAGACATTCTTTGGATTTAATTTCAGTTTTGAATTTTAAGTTTTTATTTGATTGATTTGAACAGGGCTTTTTATTAGATTGAATTTGTTCTTCATGTTCTTCTGGTTCAATTGTACTAAGCCCACTACTCTCATGTTCAAAAAGAGGAATTCCATTTCTTGCATTGCTTTCTATTACTTTTAATTCCTCTACATATTTATTGAAGGTTTTCATTCCATAATTAGACAAAATATCTGCAATATTTTTAGTTATCACCAGTGCCGTATTAAATTTTCCCCTATCCAATAATATTTTGTTGGGACAATCAAAATCATCAGTAAAAGTTTCATCTTCAATATGATCATCGATGTCTACATTTACATAATCTGTATCCATACTTAGTGCATTTTCAGTTGAAATAATATATCTTGCATGAAAGCAAGTTTTTGAAAATATGTCCAAATTATTATATTTTCTTATAAGAATATGACGACATGGTGCGCTAAAAGAATTCCAAAATGAACAAGAACATGTTTCTACTGATGTATTATAAAATTTTGATATTTTGCTATCAAGATTTTCCTCAATGCCATTATTTTTAATTCTCATTTTGGACTCTAAAGTTTTAAATAATTTTATTCACATCTCTGTGAGGGCTTCAGAACATCCTTCCAGTATCTTTCTTATTTTGATATCACTATCTATAATTTTAAAAACTTTTTGTTTATTTTTGGCTAATTTGTTATTTATTCTTGAATCAATACAGTTTATAATCTCCTTGATACATAAATAAATTGTTGGCAAACTATGATATTTAGTTTGTATGTATTGTTTAAGGGTCCAAAATGATCATTCAATTCTGTTTGTTGTAGTGTCTCCCATTAATGGTAAATGTTTTCTAAAAGAATGTACCCACATTTCTTTACAGCTATTGCAATTTTTAAGGAATTGTTCCTCAAGTGATACATATTTATTTTTTGTTCCTATAAAAACTTGTACAGATTTACAAATTTCCAAAAATTCTTTTTCTGCTCTTCATATTCTTCATATGATTGCAAATACAAGCATTTCTTGAATTTATACAATATTTTATGCTTCTCATCAATTTGGCAATTATATACAGTAGAAATTAACAATTTAATATATTTAATAACATAAAATTTGCAAAGTAAAATGACTGCACTGCAAAATATTCAAAATGAATAAGCAAACAAACATGTTTGCTTTTATTGCAGTTCTCAGATAATTAGAAACCCAAAGTGTGTGTCTAATTTCCTACATATAAAACAGGCATTGACTGTGATTGGGCAGATATATTATACTATAACAAGAAATTAAATCATATTAACAAATTTATTTATATTTTATTTTCAATTTATATTAAACTTTAGTATTTAACAAATTCTAGTTGACACACTTTACATTTTGTTTGTTTGTTTAGTTATGGCAACGCAACACTTTGGTGATCTGCCTAGGGGGATGCCTTCCAGAAGGTCTTTTTAAGGGAAACTGGCCCCTATTTAGGCATTACAAACGTGAAGAAAACCTGAAAAACTCCACGTGGCCAGCCCATCCGAGTGAGGCACAAACCCACAACCGAACTCCCAGTGTTCAGGGTACGAAGACTGCTTGGCCACTTGTGGGCCTTTTCATTTTAAAACTACAATACATGCATAAATATGTATGCTAAACAATAATTTATGTAAGTATTGATAATTAAAGTAGCATTTTCAGAACATAACTTAGCTAATTAAATATATATTGTATAATTTGAAGTAAAGGTAAGCAATTAAGTCATCATCTTGTATTAAATTTAATAATTAAAATTAAATTAATTAATTTAGAATATTCTGAAAGAAAATATTAATCCAAAATGGGACTTGAACCCCAAACTTTTTCTTATTGCCTAGATTCACAGTCAATTGCTACCTGAACCTCTGTCTAATTTTTTATTTCAGATCAATTAATTTAAATTGATCTGAATTGGCTATTCTAAATTAATTTAATTTAATTCTAGTATTAAATTTAATACAAGATGGTGACTTAATTTTCTATCTTTAGTGCAAATTATGTGTTCTCTGTATATTTAATTATCTATTTGCATATATAATTACTTATAGCCTAATAATGAATTAGCTTTATCATTTGATTATTGATATAATTCAGGCTTAATTTTCTGTATAATTCTGTATAATTAAAGTTACAGTTTATCAATATAACATCATGAATACCTTAAAAATCTAGTACACATTTAATTGAACAACAAGAAATATATACACACTGACAAATGTTTTTGATCTTCAGGTCAAATGTCAGGATCAAAAACGTTTGTCAGTGTGTATATATTTCTTGTTGTTCAATTAAATGTGTACTGGATTTTTAAGCTATTTGTGGTGTTATAGTGATTACAGATTTCCAATTTTAAGAAGCTACTATAGTTCCAATTTATATTTTCTAATATTGTAAATGGTTGCAGTTCTAAATAAAAAATTATCTTTACAGTTATTTTTTACTTTCAATTAAACAAACTAAAAGCTACATACAATATATTACTTTAACACGTTTTTAAACAATATTTTTTTATTTCTTAATGGTCTTTACAAATATTTATCATGAAGAATTTTAAATAAAATTAATATATGTGATTAAATTTGTGATATCATTTTCAAATGAATTAGAATGTGTGACATATTCCTGACTACCTTTGGAAGAAAAAGAACCATGCTGTTTCACTTCCAGTAGAGCAGAAGACAGAGATGCAGGTTTAGGTGGAGGAGCAGGTTTTCCACTAGAAGGACGACCTTCTCTCTCTGAAGTGAAAGGATTTCATATAATAGAAAAATTAGGAAAGATATTTTGATGTGAAGAGTAAGAAAGAAATAAAGAAGTAAGAATAAAGTTTATCTCAAGTGCCAAAGTAATGATATATAATATTTATTTGTAAAGTAACTAATTAATAAGCTGAATTCCCTGAAAAATTTAAACATAGGAAAATGATATCCAAAATTATCAATGAATTTAATACTTTTGTTATATTTCATTTTAAAAAATTATTTTTTATATATTAATTTAAGCTATATAGTAAATTTTGCACAAGTTTATAAAAATGCTAATCATTATTATTGTTATTACTTATTTTAATTATACTTAAGACTATACTTGTATTTTAATCAATACAAAAAAATAAATAATAATAATATGTATTTCCTTCGGAATTAGCACAAGGTTGCTGTTGAAAACAAATCATACAAAAACACGTTGAGTGGAAAAAGTAGGTTTTTGACACAAAAACTTACTTTTTTACTTTTTCCACTTGAACACTCCTTTTGACACAAAAGGAGTGTTCAAGTTTGAGTGTTTAAGTTTTTCCACTCAAAGTGTTCCTGTATGATTTTTTTTCAACAGCAACCTTGTGTTAATTCCAAAGGAAATACATGTAATTAAGAGAACAACAAGCAACCAAGTTTTAAATAATAATAAATTGATATGAACTCAATTTTGCATAGTTTTAAATTAGCTTTACTTTCTATAAATATATATTATTATTTTTTTAAATTTGAAAAACTATTTACATATTTTTCCTTCAATATATAATAATCCATTTATATGAAGTTGATATTTTAAGATTTTTCTTGGTGATAATATTCATAAAAAAATAAAAATAAAAAAAATAATAATAATAATGGATACATTTCAAGTTTAAATTTAGTTATATACTTATGTTATTACTTTGGATTAGAGTTTGATTAAACATCCTTTACTACTGTATATTCCAGATCACAATTAAGAGTAAATCCATCTCTAAATCAAATTCAAAGTATAAATGGCAAATATTAGGTTTAATATTATAACATAAATGTTTCCAGCAATTATACCTTCCTCAGGTATTTGCAATAGAATAAAAAAAAATTAGAACACGTACAAATTTCAAAACAAATATAAACTTGAGTATTCCAGACAAACATAAGTTGAACAGTATATATATTAAATACATTAAAGATTAGAAATTATTTTTTCACAAATTAAAGACAAAGTCGCTCTAAAAATATATTTCAGACGATCACCATTTTTACATAGTGTTCTAGAACAAATTATAGACAGCTGGACCTTTCTTTTTAGGCTACACAACTGCCTACATTTAAAAAAGTTCCTTATAAACACAAAAAACCAATAAAGATTAAAAAATTTTTTCTTCTTTAAAATTGGAATGGTAAATCTTATGACATCTTGTTAGTTGATTAGAAATTAATAAATTTTAAATTATAAAACAAACCTTTTCTCATCTGGCCTGTTATTCATATTTTCATTTTCCTTTAACAACAAAATTTATATCCAGATAACCAGGTTGCCTTACCACATTTCTGATTTACAAAAAAAGGGAACACCCTCTGTTCTGTACAATTTGATTCAAGATCTCACCAACAAATATTACTACAAAGAAAAAAATTACAATAGTAGCAATTCAAGTGTATAGAGAGACCAAACATTGCTGTAACAAAAATTTAAAGTCTCTATATGTGGAGATGGCCATAGCTATGAGTGCCAAAATCATATGTGGAAAAAAATTGTTGAGAAATAATACAGGCCACATAGATGTATACAGGCCACATCCTGAGGATTTATATGATGCTACTAAATGATAACCAATTTGGATAATCTCAAATGCATTGGCTCTATATCATGACTTTTGTGGGAAAGGGTAAAAGAAAATGCATATACAATCAAAAAAGGTCAAACGAAAACTACATTGGCTACTTATGCCTCTGAACCAGATGTTTATGTCAAATCACAAGAGGTACATACTTGTAAATTTTTATTTCTTCGAACAAGAATGAATTGAAAGCTACATTAAAAGTAAAGGCAGATTAAGTCTTCCAAAAGCCTGGCAATCCTTACTTGACATATATAAGATATAGGGATAAGAAACTGAATCAGAAAAAAATATAATACAGTAGAGCGTCGATTTTCCGAATCAATTGGGGACTGGGGTTGTCCGGATAACTGATATTTCGGATAACTGATTTACGTACGAAAAAATAGTTTAACATATCCAATGTCGAAATTTTTATCTGTTGCGTGTCGCTTCGCGTTGAATTTTCGTCGCTGTTAAGCCTTACGAAGACTATTGTATCGTTAAAAATTATTTTTTTATTTTGTACAAACAAAATAAACATATTTTTCAATATGTTTATTATTTTATAATTTATTAATTTATTAATTTATTTTATAATTATTATTTCAATATGTTTTATATATTTTTCAATATGTTTATTTTGTACAAACAAAATAAACATATTGAAAAATATAAAAATAATAAAAAATTATACTTCAGATGTTAATTTACTATCAAAAACGTAAAATATTTGAGTAACCCAAGACATAGACAAAGATTGAAGCGCCACAGCACTGGCGAAAATTTAAATTTGCTGACTGGAATTCTTTCGGATGATTGACGTTTTGGATGATTGACTTTCGGAAAATCGACGCTCTACTGTATATTCATTTTTTAAATCATTTTTTATCTGATCTAATTTTGAATTTTATATGAAATTTGTTTGAAGCTATTATAAACCTTTTGGAAAACTTTGGATTTAAATTTGATTTGAATATCACTGTACTTTGGCCAATTTTAAAATTTCTAAATGCATAGAACGCTTCAACACTGTTAGCTGCATTAAAGTTTTCATTAAACTTTTGAAAGCTCATTTGAATGTTTTCTCTGCTTGTACCCAAGGAGGATTGCTAAAGAGGTCAAAAACATCTGTATTCTTAAGAAAATAAGAACTAGGTAATTATTAGAAATATAAATTTTTTCTATTTATTTTCATAAATAATTATAAAATTTTCTAAATAAAAATTCAAGAAGATAAATTGAATAACACAGAATATTGAAATAGACTCTTATCACCAGTTAATTTTTAAAAAATGACTGTTTGCACTAAATTAATAAAAAAATTTCATAACCTAAATTATATATTTTAAAATACTTCCACAACATAACACTTTCTCTAAACCACTGGTTTGCAACCTGTATTCTACAGAACTCCAGGAATTCCACAATCTTGTCAAGTGTTTCATACAAAAAGTAAAAGATTTTAAAGTTTTAAGGGCCATCCATAAATTACATAAGGACGATTTTGGCCATTCTAGACCCCACCCACCCCTGTGTAAAAAACTGTAATATTTTCTTTGATCCCCCCTCTCCTTCCCTATCTTATGTAATATTTTGGCATGATTTTATAGAAAGATTTTAACCAAAATAAATTTTTTATGAAACCCTAAACACCTTAGGTCCAAAAATATAATTATTAATTAGTTAATTAATATGTACTATTATTTATAAAAGACTTTATGTGAACAAATTTAAAAATATAAAAATTTAATGAATTCAAATAAACAATTTATTTTAAGAACTTTATTTTTTAATTATTAACAATATTATTATTGTTATTATCATCATTAATCAACATCATAATATTTATTTTTATAATAATTTTAATTTTCGCAAAAGACACAAAAAACTTTGCCAGATTGACTAGCTAGTGCACGTGTAAACAGCAACGTCATACAAAATAAAACAAGAGAAAATAGAGACAAACCACATTCCGTTGCCATATTGATTACATCTTGGCTAAGGACAAGAAAATAATCTACATGCTACTAAAATGTGCTAGGTGCACCTGGGAACTAAATAATAAAGCTTATAAAACTCTATATAATGGGGCAATACAACCAATGCTACTTTACATGGCCTCTGGCTGTGGTCATGTAACTATAAATAGTAAAAATTCCGTAGCAAGTAAATTACTCTCTCTTCGAAGCCAGTTTGACATCAGAATTTCAAAGTGCTGCAGAACTGTTTTTACTAATGTCTCTCTGATACTAGTAGAGCTTCTTCCTTTGCCACTATGTATTGTAGAAAACAATATTGTAGAAAAGATAGGTTCTAAACTACTACATCAGAACTACAAACGTCAAGGCTCAACAACGGTCTCTACTCCTATCTACGGCTGTTCATACGCTACCACATTGCAATTACCCTACTATCTCTGATCATCATCCTGTAAACAAGGTTATTTGGTGTCATCTGCTTCCTCCATGGATAATCATGCAGACATTAATATCTACACAGATGGGTCCAAAAGCTCCCTTCTTGTCGGCTCAAGTATCTGTATCTTCCTCCAAACTGACATATTTTGCCAAAAATATGTTAGAAGGTACAGATACCTCCAACATACCTCCATCTATCAAGCTGAAGAAGATGCCGACTACCAAGCTGTTCAGTGGGCCACTTCACTACCAAACGAAACTCTGTCTATCAACATTTACAGTGATTCTCAGTCTGTCCTAAAAGCTCTATTAAATCCCAATTGCAATAACAATAAAATCGCATATATTCAGCACAGCGCCATATTAAAAATCTTGTAAATAACGTAACTTTTATATATATTCCTAGCCATATTGGCATACTAGGAAATGAAAAAGCCGACTTTGAGGCTAAGTCAGCTGCAAAGGACACTGATTTGGACTACACTCGCATCCCTTTCTCACGTAGCAGCTGTAACGGACACTTTGTACCGTACATGTGATTGGTCGAGTTGCCAGTGGCGTGAAGCTATTGTTCGTGGGATTATGACTAAACGCCCCTAAGGCAGAAGATCCCTAACCGCGGAAACGGAAGTAGTTGCAAGAATAACCCTGCGCGGTACGAGAGGAATCGCAGGGTCAGTCACTTTTTGGTTTGGTCTCTGGTTGTGAGGACGTCGAAGTGCGAGAAGCAAGAAGTACGAACGTATACCCCAGAATAGATTTGAACCTTGGGGTACAGACTCATCACTTTGAACTTGTACCTGGCTAAGATTCCCTTTAGCCGTAACAAATTGGAGCCACCAGTGAGGACAGAGGTTCATCACATCTGAATAAAAAGAAAAGAACAAAAAAAAGAAACGACGGCGAGTTTCAACTTGAAAGGAAGAGAAAACGGTAAGTTCATTGTTCCTTTGTCTCATACACAAGGTCCAGAGATAATTGGATTTTGCGACCAGGGATTATTATATACAGTATAATCATAAAATAAGTTACATTTTGGGTAACTCAATATTAAATTGTGACAGGAATTATTGTATCTAACCAAAATGCCGAAAAAGTTGACCATGAAAGACAAAATTGATATTTTTGAGGATAGAGTTATCTCTAAAGATAACGAAATTATACAACTAAAATCAATTATTCATGAATTACAAGAGAAAATTAAAAATCTTGAGAGAAAAGAAAAAAATAGACTCAGGAACATCGAAAACTCGGGAATGGAACGAGAACCTTCCCCTACTGTTCTCGAGAATGATAGAAAGTCCGACGTTTCGTCTGTTTCTCCTATTAACCTGATAATGAATTTAATAAACCAAATTAGGGAGGAATTCGAAAATAGATTTAATAAACTTGAAAATATGTTTGTAAATGCAAAATGTGCTGACTCACATCTCTCGACCAGTCCTTCACTTACGAAAGGTCCTACTATTCCACAAAAGTTAATATCTTGGCCCGTGTTTGACCCACAAAATATAAATATTTGGCTGGAAAAGCTGCAAGGAATAAAGGAATGTTTCAAATTAGACGATACAACATTTATTTCCACACTAAAGTTACAATCAGATATAGATTTAGTAAAAAGAATCAGGCTAGAAGAGGCAAAAGGATATGGATTAACCTGGACTAGATTGAAAACACAAATTAAGAAATGGTATGAAACAGATTCCACTGTGAAGAAAACAATTAAGATGTATGACAGAATTCAAGGGAAATTAGAATCGGCCTTTTCGTATGTTTTAGATAAACTAGAATTAATTAATTCTTTAAATCACGAATATTTGGAGATAGAAAAAATCAAATTATTAAACAATGGTTTGCAAAAGGAAAAAAGAATGTCTATTGCAAATAAAACATTCCACACCTTAGATGACTATACCAACGCCATTATGGAATTAGACTCGATAACAAAGAGAGAGAGCGCGAAAAATACTACAAAAGTTTCAGTGTAGGTGAATGTTCAAACAGGCCTAATGGAGTTTCAAGGTCGCCTAAGCCTTATAGCCATTTTTACAAAGAACAATCGAGTCGTCAAAATCGTGAACTAATGGACCGTGAAAGAAATTCCGTATACAATAAGCGTTCTAAAACCTTTAGGAGAACTAACAATAGAAACAATGACATACAACCAGAACATGCTATATCTCGAAATCAGACAGTCTCAGAAAAAAGTTCTCAGGATATTATTTGCCATAACTGTTGGAAAAGAGGTCATTATAAGAAAAGCTGTAAATATCCAAAATTTAATGCATTCGAAAAAATGCGCCAACTCATGGATAAACTCGAAAATCAAAATGAGGAACAAAAAAACTAATGGATCGGGCTCCCGAGGGAGAGCCCTGTTTTCAAGCTGCTAGAATCCCTCCTTATCTTTTAGAGTGTATTGCAATTTCGAAAAATCAAAGTTACGCACTATTTATTTGACAATCGAAGGATCTCTGTTTAGTACCATCATTGATACGACCTCAGAGAAATCATTGATAAGCCGAAAACTATGAATAGAATTAAGACTAAAAATACGTCCTGAATCTATTAAACTAATCGTAGCAGATAATAGAAAGATAGAGTGTGAAGGTACTTGTATGTGTAGACTACAAATAATGGGAAATAGTATTGAATTTGTGTTTGTAGTATTGGAAAATTTTCCACATGATTTATTACTAGGTAGTGATTTTTGTGAACAAATGAAAGCAACCATCAACTTCAGAGACAACTTATTTATAGTGCCAATGGGAGAGAATTGTATGAGTCAAATTCAAACACCCCTTTTNGAGCGCTTGAAACCGTTCTATACACCGAAGTTCATCATGAAGTCCCTAGATCAAAGAGAGGAAAAGGAATCATCGTTGACGCAAGAGAGCAGTGATTCCGACGAAGAACCAGAACCCAATGACCCGCGAGATGCAGATTACATCACCGACGATATCCCAGAAACTAAGAAGAAATACTATCTTCATCCTTGTAAATCGTAACTACCATATCTTTAGGAGAATTGTTACGAGCCGAGACGTCTCGTCCTAAAGGGGGGAGTACTGTAACGGACACTTTGTACCATACATGTGATTGGTCGAGTTGCCAGTGGCGCGAAGCTATTGTTTGTGGGATTATGACTAAACACCCCTAAGGTAGAAGACCCCTAACCGCGGAAACGGAAGTCGTTGCGAGAATAACCCTGTGCGGTACAAGAGGAACCGCAAGGTCAGTCACTTTTTGGTTTGGTCTCTGGTTATGAGGACGTCGAAGTGCGAGAAGCAAAAAAAAGTACGAACGTATACCCCAGAATAGATTTGAACCTTGGGGTATGGACTCATCACTTTGAACTTGTACCTGGCTAAGATTCCCGTTAGCCGTAACAGCAGCCTTAAAAATTATATTCATGACAACGCTATGCAAAAGTGGAATCAGTAAAAGTAGTTGAGCAGTAAAACTGGTAGAATAACAAGACTTTATTTTCCTAGTGTTGAATGTAGGTTCTCATCACTACTTAGAGATTTAACGTTTGCTACTGCTCAACTACTTACTGAGCATGGTAATTTTAGAAGCTACCTGGTGATGTATAACCGGGCAGAAATTGCTCCTTGCTTTTGCTCTACAGAAAACCTAGACACTGTCGACTATATGATCTATCATTGTCCAATTTATGATCAAGATAGACTTATTCTGAAATTAGAAATTTTTACGCTTGGTTTCAGGTGGCCATGTCCACTTGATAAGCTTGTTCAGAAACCACTGTTTGATGCTTTTTACAATTATGTTCAAAAAATATGGAAGAAAAGACTATTTATAATCTCTAATTTCTAGTTTTACATTTTAGTTTTCACTAAAAGCCAGATACTAATTTTATGTTTACTTTTTATTGTGTATTTTGGTTTATGTATTCTTAGTGTTATACGCCCATAAGAGTTAGTGCACTTATTCTAATAAAAAACAAGAGAGAGAAACCACCACACAGCTTTTCTCCCGTGATAAAAAATGTGCATAGCGTTAATCTGCTAGCGTTATTACTCTATCACGTCACATGAGACAACGAGCTTCCTTAATAGGAACTGCCAAATTGAAGCCAAATTCAAAACACCACCACTCAACAAGATCAAAAAATAAAAATAAGAACATTACATCAGACAAGATCTATTACCTCCTACCCCTGAGTAAGAAATCTTAAGAAATCCTTGACCCCCCCAACCTACCCCAAAATACCTTACGTAATTTATGGACGGACCCTTATTGAAAATTTATTCAAATGCACTACAATGTATTACTTTAGTAAACACAGAATTATCGATGAATATTTTATTGAATGCAATAAAGCTTATTAGTTTATTGCTTTATTGTTTTGTAAGAATAGTAAACATGAAATTGCTTATTCACTTTTAAACATATTGAAGCAAATGTTCCACATTATAAAAAATATATGAATGATGTCTTAGAATAGTTGAAAGCCACTGCTCTAAACTAAAATTTAATTAGATAATGTGAATTAAGATTTTCATTATTTTTTAATTAATTAAGAAACTATAAACATCTAAACAAAATTAAATTTTTTTCTTTCTTTTTGTATTAAATTTTATTTCAATTTATTCAAAAATAAATAAAATAAATTATTTTGTATTAAATATATCAATTACAATAAATTACAAATTCAAAACATATTTAATTTTTTTTATTTTAAAAATGTACAAAATAAATTTAATAATATGATTAAATAGAAAATACAAAATTTAACAATCTAATAATTCTCTAATTTACATTTATAAGAATTTTCTGTAAATATTACCTGCTGGCATAACAGTTGTTGAAGAAGTTGTTGGAATAACTTCATTTTCTGCAAAATATAATAATAATAATAAAGACACTTCCTCATCCATCACTGATAACATAGACATAGAACTAGTTAATACACTCTCATTTATATTTCAGGAAACACTCACTAAATATACAGGTACAGATCCCACATAAAGACCACGAATACCAAAAATCAACACATCAAAAGTAGTAGGGAAAACACTAAATTATGTAAACACTCACTTACTACCACACTACATCCATTTAATTTCTACACTCTCAGACATTCCTACATTAGTATATGCTGGGGCAGTCACAGTAGTGACACACCATGGACTGAAAATACAATCACAGACAGACACACACAAAACACAATTCTATCTCAAGCCTGCCTGGCAGAGACGAATAGAAACACATATAAATGACATTAGACAGCAATTAGGCAGGCTGACACAATACACTAAAAACAACATAACACCCAAATTAAAGAAAACAACTCAAATTTTCAAGAAAATCAAAACACACACAAAACATGAACATCACAACACACACATTACAGAATACATCAATACACTAAAACAAAAACTCACAGCCAAACCACGTAGACTCAAACGATACAAAACATGTACACTACGAAAACAACAAAATAAATTATTCACAAACAACGAAAAACTTTTCTACAGACAAATCAGTACCAAAACAAACACTGATACACAGCACATTGGCACACCAACAGAAGAAGAACTCACAACTTATTGCTCTTCTCTTTGATCCAATGCTGTTACACACAATGCTGATGCAGGCTGGATTGAGGAGGAGAACAGAAACTTGCATAACATATCAACTATGCCCTGTGCTGAAATAAACATACACGACATTCACTATGCTGTCAACAGAACACACAACTGGAAGACACCTGGTGTAGATAACATTCACAATTTCTGGTACAAAAAGTTTACATCACTGCACCAGGAACTAGCTAAACATCTAACACACATGATCGTCAATCCACAAGACATGCCAAAATTTCTTACTCGGGGCATCACCTACATGAAACCTAAAAACAACAACACCACAGACCCCACACAATACAGACCAATTACATCTTCCAACACTCTACAAATTATTCACATCCTGTATCACAAACAAAATATACAAACATGTTGAAGATCACACATTCTTACAGAACAACAAAAAGGTTGCTGTAGAAATCACAGGGGATACAAAGAACAGTTACTCATAGATTCAGCCATTCTACCGCAAGCACACAAACAACACAGAAACATACACATGGCATATATAGACTACAGAAAAGCGTTCAATAGTGTTCCACACAGTTGGCTGCTACATATTCTATACATGTACAAAATACATCCATCACTCATTGCATTCTTCCAAAACACTATGCAGCACTGGAGAACACTACATCTCAGGGTTAGTAACACTTCCATACAAACAAACAAAATATTCATTAGGCGAGGAATTTTTCAAGGAGATTCCTTGAGTCCTCTCTGGTTCTGCCTAGCCCTGAATCCATTATCCAACATGTTAAACAACATGCATTATGGTATAATATCAGATATGAAAAAACAACACAATTTACACTGTCACATCACTGTACATAAACAACATAAAACTTTATGCATCCACACAGAAACAACTTCATCAACTCCTACAAATCACACATTCATACACCAAGGACATACAAATGGAGTTTGGCTTAGACAAATGCAAAAAACTTCACATAGGAAAAGGGAGGCCTGAAGAAAGAAGATTTTGCACTTGGCAATGGGGACATTATTGAATCCATGGAAGAGAGCAAGCTCTACAAGTATTTAGGATTCTAACAGGCCAAACTAACAGAACATACACATAAACCTGGAGTGAAATTGACACTAGTGGTTGACAAAAATTGTTCACCCCCATAAGAATCTTAAGAAATTCATTTGTCATCACCTACCATTGTGTAAGTATAATTTCACAGAAACTTTTTGTCTTATTGAGAGTTTACGATCTCTCAAGCTACTCGATGAAGAATATATTACTGTTTTCAATTTAGAGGAGTTGTATCCTTCTATTTAGCTGGAACTCTGCTTCGACTATCTCAGGGACTTCATATTTGAATGTGTTATCCTCCCTCCTACTCTTCATAGACACATTCTTGAACTAGCAAACTTGGTAACATACTTTTCATTCTTTCAGTTTCGTAGAAACATTTACATGCAAAAGAGATGAGTACCTACGGACAGCCCCTACCTAGAACACTTTGAGAGATGAGATGATTTTAATTAAGATTATTGGAGAGATCCATCCTGTCAAACAAAATATGGCACACACATCCATATTTACACCAGATGCATTGATGAGGTGCTTATTATATGGAACATGAAAGCCAACATACAAAAAATTCTTCATTGATGTCAACACCAACTCTTATAGTCTAAAATTAAACTTGAAGCAAAAGAATGACTGCAAGGTTCACTTTTTGAATATCCTTATCACACTAAAAGATTGTGGTATCAAAACTAAGGAGTTTCAGAAACGCTTTTATCTTCTGTTTATTCCTTGTTTCACATTAAACACTACAAGTTAGTTGACACACACTCACTGCCCTGTTGTTGATAGAGCTCTGCTATATTAAAACCCTTAGGGAGCATCTTGATTATTGACCTAGGATCATATTTCTGTAATCAAAAAATATTGAGAATGGTTCAACAAAACACAAGATTTGAGTTTATTCATCAAAATTTATTTTGTCTTCTTTAAATAATCCTCTCCTACTGCAATGCACTTATGCCAACAATTTTTTCCAATCCTTGAAACATGTTTTAAAGTCATTTTCATGAAACCCCTTTCAGGACTTTCAGAAAATTTTGTTTTATGGCATCAATCAGCTCAAAACGATGGCCACAGAGAAGAAATTATAGTCAAGGAAACAAGAAAAAGTCACACAGTGCCATACCAGATGAATATGGAGCTTGTAGAACTGTATTTGTTAAATTTTTGGCCTAAAGTTCATGAACAACAAGAGCACTGTAAGTGGGTGCATTACTGTGGTGCAAAATTCATGAGTTTTCTCACCACAAATCAGGTTGTTTTCTACAAATTGCTTCATGCAAATAATGCAAAATGCTCAAATAATATTCTCTGTGACAGTTTGGTCAGTAGAAAGGAATTCATGATGTACAACACCACAACAATTGAAGAAAACAGTCAACATTTCCTTGATTTTTGACTGATTTTGACATGTTCTTTTAAGTCTTACTTTACCTTTCAAGCATCATTCACTCGATTGTTAAACTGTTTCACTGTCAAAAGCATAGTTTAACATTTCATTACATGTAATCATGCATTTTAAGAATGATTCACCTTGAGACAGCATTTCCTCAGTCACTTGAACACATTGTTATTTTTGGAAAAATTTAATGTTTTTGGGATGACTCAAGAAGCAATACACTGCAAGCCGAAATGATCTTTTAACAAGATCAATATGATACTGAAACATATTCAATAATGTCCCTAATTGTTAAATGATGATCATTGAGCACCAAATCTCTGTTGTTCATCAATTGACGTGAATGATCTACCAGAGATTGGTTCTTGTACCATCTTGTACTACTTGAAAAAAAATATTGTTTTTGACCGACTATCATCACAAAAGGCTTCTTGCAACCTTTCCAATGTTTTTATAGCAGTAATTCCATTGAGAAAAAATTTAATGCACATTCTTTGATCAATTACACTCAACATTTTGAAAAATTCACCAGTGCAAAAATTCTTTACACACAAAATAGGCATTTACTTTCAAATGAAAACAGATGATAACATACAATTGCTACTAGATGTCAATGAAAGTCATACCAAATGACAAAAAAATGGCAACAATGCCTTCTTGCATGCACAGTTTAAATGAACCATTCCAATACTTTTTTATTACAGTAGTACAACTACTTATCAACAATTTCCAGTACATCATGACTTTTAATAGAAGGGATGCCACCAAAGCAAACTACAGAGTTGTCAAATACTAAACAGAACATTGGGAGAGCTATGGGAAGAAGAATACTGTAAAGGAGAAATCCTACAGTTTATAAATTCCTGCAGAATGATAAAGACCCACTGGACACCATGAGTACTTCAGGTATCTACACAGTAATCATCACAGATGAAAGGGTAGCATATGACTTGGTATATGTAGGAGCAATCTTATGATCATTAGCTGCACACTTAAAAGAACATAAGTACAATGTTAAGAAGTCACTCTCTCTTACAGCTCTGGTAATCTTCTATGCATTGAATGATTTGGTCAAATTTCATTGGGATGAAACTAAAGTCATCAAACATGTCAGAAACAAGCATCATATTAGACATATTATAACCTTTGAAATCTAAAAATCTATAAATAAGGGGAAACTGTCAGCTGCAAGAATCTGAACACATTGTCTAAATGCTTGGAAATCATGGTTTGAGGTTGGCACAACATAACTCAAATGACTTTTGTCAGTTTGTTGTTTATTTTTTCTTTTTTGTTTTTAGTGTTCATTTCATTGGAGTGTAACAGATTGAAATATATTTTATTTTTATTTTTTGTATTTTAAACCTATTTTGGCATTCCAATGTTTTTTGTTCTATTTTCTGTTAGCTTTTGTAGTGTTCAATTTTTGAACAGCAAACCTGAAGATCATTAAACATGACAAAATGTTAATGTTTAATAAACATTTCTGCTGCTATACAAAGTTGTATGTAGTTGATTCAGAAAATTAATTAACAAAAAGATGCTAATTAATTATTTAATGATTTATTTCTATTAAACACTTTTCAACCTAATATTTATATATCAATATACTAAGTAAAAAATATACATTTGAAGTAAATTAAATATTATAATTTCATATGTATTAAAATATAATTTTCATACCTGATGATTGTGACTTTAAAGAAGCAGATGTTTTAATGGCTGGTTTTGCTGGACGCTCAGCTATACAAATAAAAGATCAAATAATTTAAAATTTAATAAAGTTAGCAATTATAATAAGTAAATCAAAATCTAATCTTCTATATAAATGTAAAATTTCAATTACACAATTTTCTTGTGATTGATTGATATTCAAATTTTTAGTTATAAAAACTTGTGCATTTTTTAAATCTTAAAAATTTCAGCTATTCAATATGTTGATAAAAGCAAGTAATTACTATTAGAGTAGGACGGAGAAATCACTGAGATCAGCATTATAATCTCAGTGATTTCTCTATCCTACTATACAGTATTTGGCATTAATATCAACCCATTGATTATTAATTACTATTATTTATATTATTAAAAAAATTATGACCTAGCTTGAGATTATTACAAGACATTACCTTAAAACATTCATAAGGCCAACTATCATTGCCAATTTTCATATTCATTATTAAAAAAATTATGAACTAGCTTGAGATTATTACAAGACATTACCTTAAAACATTCATAAGGCCAACTATCATTGCCAATTTTCATATTCATCAATATAACTTCATAATACCATTCTTGATAAATAGGTGTGAATACAATATTTCCTGAATACAATNGTCTGGAATGCACTATTATTAATAAAAAATAATTTATTTGGATGGCTTATATTGTATTATTATTACAGCTCTTAGTGAATTATCCTAATTAGTTGCTTTTAACAACTAAAACTCTGCCAGACCAATATCAAGGCCTAGTTACTAAAAAGCTGTTATTTTTTTATGTTGTATGTGTCTGTACAGTGTATTTAAGAATTTCCTGATTATGCTATGTGATATGTGTTTAGAATGGTTGCTTTTTATCAAATGATATATGTGCTATTGTTAAGGCCTAATGTTTCTACTTTTCTATGTATATATGTGTGAGGATCTTCATGAAGTTGTTTGTGGCCGAGATGTAATTCATGGTTTAACAGTCCCTTAGAGATAGAGATCTGTTGCTCAGGATAGTGATGAGCGAGAAGAAATGTCATGTGGGGTGGAGTAAGCATTTAGTCAATACTCTACATAAAGACCATATTATTAGAGTAAAGGATAGTGTACATGTTTCTGGATGAAATTGCTGTGGCACTCTAACAAACAGAAAATTTGGACATAAGTCCTTTGTAGTCAATAAGATTCCTTAAGAGAAAGACACTGGGTTATAGTCTAACTTCCAATAGAGTTGATATTCCTTGGTCAGTTAATAACTTCTGAAGGTTTACTTTAGCAAGAACTTTCCAATGCCAGGATCCGGTGAGCTGACACCACAGTTGGTTATTCACTTTATCTGAGGAGATAACTTGGATGACAGACAGTGGGAGTCTGTCATCCAAGTTATCTCCTCAGATGAAGTGAATAACCAACTGTGGTGTCAGCTCACCGGATCCTGGCATTGGAAAGTTCTTAGTGGCAATTTTCTTCCTGCTAGTTGAGAAAGAAAGTGAGCAAATTTAGAATAGAATTTAGAATTCCATGTGATGATGGAAGGCACCTGGTCCTAAGAGATTCTAGGGTGAGAAAATGAGGAACAAGGAATCATAGTAATGGATCTTCACAAAATATCCGGTCTTCTTTTAAAGAATTAGCAGATACTTGCCAAAGAACAGAACTTTTTGTGGAAAAGCACCCAAATCCTGAGACATGGATTTTTGTCTACTTGGTCCCTCAATTGTTCATCCTGATTGGCCTCAGTACCTTTCTATGTTTTCTGATTGGTCTCTACTTGTGTCCAGGTGAAAATTAAGACTAGCTGAACCACAGGAGAGGTCAATTCAATGTTTAATATGATATTGAATAGTATACTTAAATATATAAATAAATATATTAATGGTGTGGTTTGTTTTTAAATTTTAAAAAATATTAAAACTTTAAGGTTAAAAAATTAATCAATCATTGTTTTTTCATTTAATCAGAGACAAAGCCAATACTAAGATATTTAGATGCTAGTTTTTATTATCAGTATGCATTTTGGGTGTTTTTAATATTTTTACACCACTCTTCAGGCAATACAAAAACTAAAGGAAAAACATAAAAAATAGTAAAAAAAACAGTAATACAATATTTAAAAAATACATATCATACAAACTGAACTTTTTTGCAAAAAACAAAAGAAGTTTGTTTATACATTTTTCATAATCCACAAACCATTGGTCTATCTGTGTGCTTTTTAAATCCTACTACATCCATCCACATGCCTTCTATTTCCATCCTATTATTTAAATTAATGGTATTATGAGCACCTATAATTGCTACATGTTCTTTAAATCTATGCAAGTACAGATCTTTTTCTTTATATATTATTTAAAAATCACCCATATAAATAATATGTAAAGAAAAAGATGAAGGTGATGAAGAACAAAAGTAAATGATGAGAACAAAAGTAACAAATAGCTATAATAAAAAATGTTCTTGAAAGTTACTAGTGTCAATTTCAAATCACACTCTCCAAGCTGTTAGAAGTGTGTTATTTCCAAGCCTTCCACATATTGTAGATGTTTATTTATGATGGTCTTAATGATCCTGGCCTGAATCCAATGTACATTAACTAAACCATCAAGAGCACAAGCTGAGAATGATATTCAAAAGTCTATACCTAACGTATCTATCTTGGATGCAAACAAACAAATTGACAACAAGAGAAATTTTATACACAATACAAATTATCATCATAAATATGATAATATTTATGCTCTTTCAAATGGGTTCTGAGAGACATAGACATCATAGTTATGAGGGGTTCTTTGGTCAGTGATGGGAATGGGAATGGTCAGGGATACTCAAGGAGTCCATTGAGTCCTTATCATTATGGAGTATTTTGTAGATAGTGGAAGACCTTTTATAAACAATTCTCTTCTCCATTGTTTTCACTATCTCTGAAAACATGTTATGCATTGATTGGAAGTACTCAATAATAGTATAATAGTCTTTTCAAATATCTGTAGTGTCTGGCTATTTAGAAGAGTAAAAGCAGTCAATAAAGGCTTGTATATTCTTAGCATTACATCCAAACTGCTTTTCTGGTATTTTGATGTATTTCAATTCCTCTAATCTATCCAAAATTTCCAGGCAGTGCATTTATACTTATCTGATCAAAGCCCCGAAGTCCACCAGTTTGTATCATGAAGGGTCATGAGAGAACTGAGAAATATAAATCCAAAAAATGGCATTCACAATGAATTTCCTAGTCTAATATGAAAGTCAGGCCATATGAATTTGAGTTAATATCCTGTAAAAATTGTTGAATGTCAGGTTTGGTGTTCATTATAATCATAATGTCATCAATGTACCTACAGTAAATATGGATGTTGGCACTATATTTTGGCATAAGACCACAAAAGAGGGATTGTGTTACCAACTGTGTGTCAAGTTCCTGGATTCTTCAGTAAAAAGAAAGGATGGAATACAATCAGCATCTCCATCTTCTGAAATTTGTCAACCATCTTTGGAAAAAAACTGTACAGAAACAAAAGAGGAACAAGAAAATGTTCCATCAACATCTGCAGAAAGAAATAGAACAGAAACTCAAGGACACTATCAAAATGCGCACTATCAACATCTACTGAAAGATTCATTCGTTTTGTACATTATAATAAAAAATTAAACACAAATGAAATTAGAAAACATTTTCTAGGATTTTGTTCTGTAGACAACACAACAGGACAGGGATTGTATGATTTTATTTTGAGTCATATTAAAAGACTAAATTTAGATATTCAAAATCTTTGGGGATAGGAATATAACAATGCTGCAAATATGAAAGGCAAATACAATGGACTACAGCAAAAAACAGTAGAGAATAATCCTAGAGCTTTTTATGTTCCTTGTTCGCACATACTCTCAATTTAGTTGTAAATAATGCTGCAAAAATTTCATTTGAAACTGTTAGTTTCTTCAGTATAATTCAAGAATTTTACAATGGACTATTTTACATAAATATGTAAAAAGACTAACATTAAAACCATTGTCTAATATGTAATGCAAATCATGTTGAAGCAATCTGACCATTAAAACTACAGACAATAGAAATATACAGTGGTGCCTCGTATAATGTACTTAATCCACTCCAGATGCACGTCCGTTAAGTGAATAGTCTGTTATACGAAATGCATTTTTCCATAGAAATACATGTTAAAACATATAATTCATTCCGCAGCATAAAATAACCGTACTGTACCATTAAAAAAAAAAAACATGAAAATGGAGCAGTCACCAATTATGCCGGGTAGTCAGATGTTGTGAGAAGGAGGTGGAGGAACACTTTCTTCCCACATTCATACAGAAACAGACTTTTTACACATTGCAGCAGGTCTTTTTTTTTAATTGTTTTTTAATTGGATTCAGATTCAGGAGAGGCTACCAGAGCTTGCTGGGTCAACTCCTCTTGTTCCATCCTTTGTTTTTTCCCTGCTGGCTTCTTGAAAAACATGTCCAAGGTGGTCTGTTTCTCTCTCTTCTTCAACACCTGTCAGAAATGATGGGCAAGGGTGTCACTGTAGAGATCATTGATACTGTGGCCTCAGCTCTGTTTGGATAATGAGTGTTGATAAACTCCTGAACCTCTCTCCATTGGACAAGGAAGTTTTTGTCAACTTTCACTCCTTCTGACGATTTCTTGCATTGTTTCAATTGAAATCACTTTTCTGTTTTTTTAGAAGCCATGATTTGCACAACACTTGAATAAATGTAAATACCCTGCACTGTGTTGATGTACTTAATAAACAAGGGAGCAAGCCAAATCCCAATATTCTGTACTTCAGATATACTGATAATATATTCTAATAATACTAATATATTATAAAAATAGCAGATTGTCATTGGCAATGGCAAAAGAGTGGAAACATCATTCGCATTTGTTCGCAAAAAGACCATTGTTTGCCTCATGTAACTGCCGAACGAAAAGTTCGTTGTTCGCAGCCAGTCCGTTGCTCAAGTCATGTAACGGCCAAACAGAAAGTCCATTATTTGAGGCGTACGTTATAGGAGGCACCACTGTATCTTGCTTTACAAGAAATTAAAAATGATATTACAAAAGACATGAACAAGATTTCAAGTAAATGAATTGTCATCAAAATTAAAGTCATTTAAATTTATTTGTTCCCTGATTGTGTGGCATGATATTTTGAGTAAAATTAATGTCATTAGCAAAATGTTACAGAGTCCTGCTTGTAACCTGAGTGACGCTCTCAAAAGTTTAAAATAAATTAAAGACAATTGAATGAATTTAAAACAGATATATCGTTTGAATCCATATAAGTAATATAAGATATAAGATGGCAGAAGACTCAAGTCAACATTTTCTGCCAATACAAAATGAGGAATAAAGAAAAGACTTTTTGATCGTGAATTAGAAGATGAATGCATCGACAATCCAAAATTAAATTTTAAAACATCTTTCTTTTTGGTAATAGCAGATTCTGCATTAATGTCATTGTGTGAAAGGTTTGAAGTTTTGGAAGAACACAATGACATATTTAAAGTTTTATCAAGATTAAATACATTATCAGATTAGGATAAAAGTGAAATTTTATCATACTGTAAGAATTTAGAATTAAAATTAGCAGATCATTTGAAAAGTGCAACGATGCAGACAGTGAATCCCTATTCGAAGAAATTAAATCTTTAAAATGTCTTTTAGATAAAAAGATGACCATAAAAGATATTTTAAATTTCATCTATAATAATCATTTGGTTGACTGTTTTCCTAATACTGCCTACTATGCTTTAAGAATATACTTGACTTTACCAGTAAAGTTTGCCAATGCTAAAAGAAGTTTCTCAAAATTAAAGAAGATAAAAAATCATTTATGGTCCTAATGTTACAGAAAAGATTATCAAACTTATCAACAATCTCTATAGAAAGTGAATTAGATGAGTATGATTTGACTGTCTTAATTAAAAAGTTCATAATTTAAAGGCTAGAAAAGTTCTTTTGTAATAAAAATATTTCAATTTAATTAATAAAATATATAATCTAATCATTTTGTGTTTTATTATTTACATATAGTAGAAGAATGTGCATATGTATATTCAATTTGTTTTGGGCCTAAAAAAAATAGGGTGCCAAAAAGTGGCTTACACAAAAGCACCTCATACATCAGCACTGGTACTGTGTATTGTGATTAGCTGAAAAAAATTACTATAACTGTATAAAGAAAGTTCAAAAAGAACATCACCAAGAGTCCGTTTAATTTAGGCTTGAATGCAGAAATTTAAAGATACAGAAAGTGTTCAGCACTCAAAATATAACTTTTATCCTTCAACATTGGATGAATCTGTGGAACAGATTTGAGAGGCATTCTACAGGAATCCATGGAATTCAGAGGTTTATTGAAGGAAAGCTAATAAAAATCTTTTTAAAGTTATTCTTTCTTTTACAATAAACTGCATCTCTACAGACTGCTTCATTTTTGTGTTATGAATTTGTATAATAATAAAGGTCTTTCCAGACACCTTTTACTGCTATAGCTCTACATATATGTAAGACTAGTTTATTTAAGAATAAATATGATTAATAATATCTATTTGAAATAGTTTCAAAATTAAGACATTTATTTATAATAGTACTGCATAATAAATTACCTGCATGTTGGGGAGAATGTTGTTTTGGAATACAAGAATTTGCATTCGTTGTTTCATCCGAAAATGAAACAGATTTTTCTTCTATTGAAATAAAAAAATAATAATAATGTAATAATATTAAAAATAAAACTTATAAAATTATGTTAATAATCTTAAATTACAGAACAGTTTGAATTTTATACAGTCAAACCTGTCTGTAACAGAACCCCAAGGGACCAAACAACTCTTCCATAGTAGATAGGTTTCTGCTATATACAGGTTACCTACTATACATATCCCTCAATTAATGCAGTTAATAAATTTCTCAATGTTACCATGTCTATCAAAATCGCATTAATCAAATACAGTGGTACCTCAGTACTTGACCGAACAATCACCACCTGCTAAAACAGATTTTCAATTAATAACATATATTAATTTTTTCATACATTTGTGAAAAGTTCTCTAAGATAAAAATGAGTAACCAATTTAAAAATAAAACAAAACCTTGCAGTGCCTATCTTCATCAGATAAAATTATACTCAATTCAGTTTGTTTTTTCATAGTGAAAAAAAAAACTAACTGATTGCAGAACATAATCATCAGCATGTTTACAACTATTTCAAGTGGATGTAATGTTTCAACAATATGTGTCTGTGACACACTAAGATTTGTTGCAAATTCATGCATTGTTATTCATCAATCTTTAACAATTTCTTCCCGCAATTTCTCATTGACAGCTTTTGGGGACCCATATGTTTTGCATTCTTTACTTCAAAATTTCCCAAATGAAACTTTCAAAACCACATTTGACACATTCAGAGTTTAAAAGCATTTTCCTTATACATGGTATAAATAGTTTTTACTGTTTGTATAGTGTGATATCCTTTACAAAACTTAAAAAGCATGCATAATATGTCCAGTGTGCATTTTATCTGCAGACATTTCAACTTGGTTTTATTCAAATGAAATGTGATGTAAAAAAGTTTAAAATAAACTTCAAAACAAAAAATACAATCTCACATCAGGAATAATGTGTTAAATTTCACAACTTATAATTACATCACATATTTATGTTAAGTAAAAACAGCTGATAATAAAAATATGCAAAAACTTTCCGTTCAAATCCCAATAAAAATACTGTAATACAGTAGTTATATTTTGATATTCTGTATCGGATATGTGTATTTTTTTTATTTTTTTTTAATGATTTATACATTCTAGGCTTGTAAACTTCTTGTTAAATTTGTGTTAAATCAAATAGAGATACTGATTTTTCCATTATATGGCCTGATTTTCCTTTCTATTTCCACATTGGACAGGTTCCATTATATACAAGTTAATTTACATTACCTTTTGCAAAAAATTTAAGGGACCAAAGAAATTTTCCATTAATGACAGGTTTTTGCTACATACAGGTTCCATTATAGACAGGTTTGACTGTATTTATTCAATAATTTTGAAAAAAATAACTTGTTTCAATAATATAGACATGGTCAAAATATTTTTTCTTTTTAAAAGTTTTTTTACATCACGAATTCTGCAAATAGTTTACAGTTCAAATAGTACTAGAGACATATAGATATAAAAAATAAAATTATATAAAAATGAGAAATAATTTATTGTGACATTGTCACAATGCTGGGCTGTAATTTTTAATCATCTTTTAATTTAAAAAAAAGTACCTGTTTTCTGATCCAAACCAGAAGTTTATATATAGTTAATTGTGTCTCTAGACTCTAAGCTTTCCATATCTGGTCTTGATTTTGCTCCCTGTATATCATACTTCTCCTGATAATAATTAAGTGATACCAATCATTTATCTAACTCTGTTCTTAAGAATATTTTGAACTGAAATTATGTGATTTCCAGTCCAGATAGGACATTCCCATATAGTTAATGGGGGTTTCTTGCCCTAAGCTTTCCATATCTCAATTCAATTTTAATTTATCTAATTCCAATCTCAAGATTAACAAAAAAACAGACAAAAAATAATAGGAGTGTATAGGTCTACAATTCGAAAATTGCAGCCCAATAACATTACTATATTAATAACTCAATCATAAACAAATTTTTAATACAATTGAAGTAATTTATTATTACAGTCAACTCACCTTAAAGTGAATACCAATAAAGCAAATTCTTACATTAAAGCAAATTTTGCTGTTGCCCTGTTAAAATGCCATTGTCAAATTAATTTTCAAGAAACTAAACAAAATTTTTTTTACCAGAATTCATTAAACTGAAATGTAAATTAACTTAACAACCCTCAAGAAATAACCCTACTTCCAATTATGCTTGCTTTTTACAATTTTTGATATAAACACTAAAAATTAGTACCCAGTTGTAATAAATGTTTTATTTTGAATATAACAGATTTTTTCATAATAAACAAAGATTGATTCAACATCCAATTGTAAAGCAATTTAAATATCTGATTTTAGCAGACCATTCTACTGTACTCAGAAAATAGAGGTTAAAGTTTAAGGATGCCCAACTCTTTAAATAGATGTGGATCCCGATGCAAACACATGCTGTTTGCATATTGGGGAGTGCATACAGTAATGCCAAATTTAGCTTTTTTCTATTCTTTTGGCACCAAAAATATTTTCTACTTTAATCTCCCAACAGAAAAAAAATTACAAATTTCTTTTAGCTTTGTTTTGTTTAACACTTCATACATAAACAGCAAATATCTCCTCCTCCTCCTCATTTTGTTTGATTTGAAAAAGCATTTAGAAATTTGTTTTTGTTAATAAATTTAATTTTGTTTAACTTTATTTAGTAAGTTAATTCAAAATAATGTATTATATTTTAAAGGTTTCGATCATCTGTTAAGCCTTAACTCCCTAAATTATACAACCTTGGTCTTGACCCAGAAACTTAGTTCATTTTATCGAAAGTTTGACAGTCTGAAAAGTGTTCTTTTCTTGTCATCGATATTTGATGTATAATTAATTTTGATTATGTATTAACTACTGTTTCCCTAGTAATTTGTGTTAATGTGAGTTGACTGTACTTGAATTGTTAGTTTGAATAAAATTATAATTTGATGCTTTATTCATCAATTTTCATAATCCTTAAAAAAGAACAGATAAAAAAAAAATATTATTTGTAATTTAAATAATAAGAATGATTAAGTTAGCAATAGTAATAAATTGTTAACTTAAAACATGATTATCTTAGTCAAAAAAATTTAATTTAGTATATATAAGATCATTTAATAAAAACCAACACTACTTTTATAGTTACTTAATGATATGCATGAACTGGGTTAATAATAATTGTGTAAATATAAAATTAATATTTAGGTTAAATGAAAATTTTATATTTGATTATTTATACCTGTTTAAGAGATTCTGGTGACTGAGTTAAGTAAACTCATATTGATGCATTTAAAATAGTTTAAAAATTAATTCATTTGTTAATTTTCAAATAGTGTAATTTATTAATATTAGTTTTGTTAAACAAATTTAAATTGTTAAAAATTATTAGACTGTGATCTTTAATTTTTATTCTAACTTCACTTTGCTCATGCTTAACCCTTTCTCAGCCATATTTTTTTCAGTTGACAGTCTGAAAAGTGTCCTTTTCTTAACATTGATATTTGATGTATAATTAATTTTGATTAAAAATATGCAAAAAAATTAGCTCCTATACAGGATTTGTCCAATAAGCATTAGACTGACTTTTTCCTGCCAATGGGAAGGGGTGTAGGATGGTTTCTATAAGCGGGATTGGTGGTGGAAATGTCTCATAAGCTACGAGACTCAGCTGAGTTGTCTCCTAGCCTTTGGAGCGTGTAGATCACACCTGAAGTGAAAGTATTTAGTGCTTGTGCTTGTGTCGAGAGTCAAGATGCAGTGCACTATCGAGCAGCATTTTTTAAATCAAATTTTGTGTTAAATTGAACAAATCTGCTACTGAGACTTTGAATATGATCTGTGAGGCTTACAAGGATGAAGCCATGTCTAGAACATGTGTTTTTGAGTGGAATAAAAAATTCAAAGATGGCCAGGCAGATGTTGAAAGGACATCTTTTTGGGATATTTGAAGCAGTCTAAGTTGTTTCAATGGGGTGCCTATACAGCCTAGCAGTTGCCACCTTCCAGGAGGCATATGAAGACTGAAAAAAGCACTGACATTGGTGCATTGATGCAGTAGGGTCATATCTTAAAGATTATTAACTCACTGTACATATATCTGAATGATTTTCTTTTTATGACTTCAGTCCCGATACTTATTAGACAAACCCAGTATATATCATTTTCTCAGAATAAAATAATTTTAATTATTTAATTAAAAATTTGATAATTATTAATTACTAATATAAAAGCTGTCATGTGCATGTGTGTATGGGTGTGAATTCCTCATAACTCCTGCAATTTTTGTTCAATCCAGATGAAATTTCTGTTATATTCATTTTATGTTCTGACAGAAAGTACAGTCTACTTATTTTGTAGCAATATTAGCAATAGTTTTATCAATTTCAGATTGATGAACGCACTTACGTTGCATTTGGTTCATGCATGATGAGGGAAATTTCCCTTAAGTTGCATTTTTACATATTTTGGCAAATGGCGTATTTTAAACTTCATTAAATTTAAACTTTAAAAATGATAGTCTCATCGAGTCACTTCTTTAAAAAAATCTTTCCATAGTAACCACGACATTCTGTTATCCAATCGTCCAATTGGAAGTAATGACCTAATGAGTCCATTACAATAGAGCGTCGATTATCCGAAAGTCAATAATCCGAAACGTCAATCATCCAAAAAAATTCCAGTCGGCAAATTTAAATTTTCACCAGTGCTGTGGCGTTGCAATCTTTAGCTATGTCTTGGGCTACTCAAATATTTTACGTTTTTCATACTAAATTAACTTCTGAAGTATAATTTTTTATTGTTTTTATATTTTTCAATATATTTACAGTAGAACCTCGATTATCCGGACTAATTGGGGATGAAGGTAGTCCGGATAAGTAAAAATCCGGATAATCAAAACAAATACTTTAATTTGTCTTTTAATGATAATACAACATGTTTTCTTTTCGATGACATATCGGTAATATTAAAAGTAAATACTGTATTTAAATCGTGATC